ACAAATGAACAAAGAAAATGTGATGTACACATATAAAACAAAAATTATGTATTCATTTAAATGTCCAGAGGGCATATTCTGCAAGCCAACTTTCTGCTCGCAGGCACACACAGCCTTACTAGTCCATGGGCCTAGAGCCCGAAGCTGCTCTGTTTCTCCAGGCCACCGCCTCTGCCACTCCCTCTGCTGTCACTGCTTTTCTAGGTTGGATCTCTCGCTGCAACCCTGATCTTCCTTCTTGAGGGTCATGGGATCATCTCTTCCTGAACTGAAAGATTAACTGCTTCCCCCTTTTAGTTACACATCATCTACAGTTACAGTTGTGAAAATCACAATCCTGTTAACAATTACTCACAATTGAATTTAAAAAATCCTATTACCATCACCCCCCGCCCATCCCCTTTCATCAGATCCATTTGGAAAACATGAAAACTATTCAGTGGGGATCTTACCTTACCTGCCTCATTCTGAAACTAAGCACACTCATGAAAAGCTTGTAAACCAGCCACTTCATGCCTTTATAACCTCCCTTTTTGTCTAGTATCGAAATTGCCCATCCCTGGAGTCCTGGTTTGGTACTGTGGGTTACTGCACAGGACTGCAAAGTCAAGTTTGAATTTAAAGGTCTTCGGTTCAAGCTCACCAGCTGCTTGGTGACCCTATACAGGGTCACTATGGGTCAGAACCAACTCGACGGCACTTAACAACATCAACCCAGTACACTGAGGAAACAAGCTTGTTCCTTAATATGAAGAATCCTTCCATTCCAGTTAGAATTTTTAGCAACTGCACCCATAAGCAAAAGTCCAGTTCATTAGATTGTAGCAATTTACACTTGCTTACAGTATTAAACATCTTTATCTTCATCTGGTTGAGTTCTGGTCAGCTAGCTGTCCAAGCTAGGTGAAATGGGTACTAGCTGCAAGCTTGGGAGTTGTTGTGCATCTCCCTGCACTTAAAACCAACAGGTCACTTCACTCTCAGCCCTAGTCCCCAAGGGCTAGTTTACATATCTCCCTAAACTTCAGACCAGCCAGCCCTTCCTCTTTCTTTCATTTCAAGGCCAATGGGTGCCAATGGAACATGGCCAAACTTAGCCCATGTCATCATTGCCTGCGTTTTCCCCCACTTCCCACTCACAAGTAGACCCACGTGGTCACCAGTGAGCATATTTGACTGCTCATGGGTTCCCTTTAAATTTCAGTTCTAGAAGGGGGATTTCCCTGATGGGCTTGACTTTCTTTGCCTCGATGCATCTAAAGCAAACAACTTGCTTGATATTTAAACAGCCTGCTTTTTTTCTGCAGGTCCTTTTCTTTCCCCCAAGGAATAATATCTTCTGTTCTCCTAGCAGTTCTGCATTGGTCTGCATGTCTTTTCAAGTGGGAATGTCGACAAATGGGTTCTTTCTAATTTCAATTTATGTGGGCTTCCTGATTTCCCTTTTCTTGTAGCCTGGTGGTTAGATTGTACCCCTAGTCCCTTGAAACTCCCTGTTTATATATGGTAATTTTTGTGCTAAATAACCTAATTCTTAACTGGAGTCTTTGGGGCTATATCTCTCCTCATAGGAACTGGTGGCCCAGATTATTTCTGTAGCTGCCCCCACCCCCGACTGCCAGGAGGAAATCAGGGCAATAGAATTCAGATACAGTCTGGGCTGTAGAAGAGAGATCATATTCACTAGGCACTTGGATAAGCATCTGAACTGGGTGTTACGCGGGGCAGATTAAATTCTTGTATGGCTGTGGCTGTCTGCATACCTGCCACCAGTAAAAGATGTGGGAATCAAAGGGCGGTTTTAGGAGAGAGGCTTTTCTACCACTAGAATTTATCCATGTGTGGGTTGTCTTCTCCTTTTACTGTTTCTTTTTTTCAGTGCCAGGGAGGTGAGATTATTAGACTCTAGTCTGTGCCTTATTGCAGGGCAGAGCCAGGGAGATTCTAGTCATAAACTGTACTGGAGGTGAAGCTAAGGGACTTGCTAAAGGTGATGTTGTTGTGTCAAGTCAGCTCCAACTCATAATAACTCTGAATAGGGTTCTTTGTGGGAGCAGATAGCCTCTTTTTCCCATGGAGTGGCTGGTGGGCTCAAACTGATGACCCTGTGTCCAGTGCTTTTCAAGCAGACACACCATGCTCCCTGACTAAAAGCATATAGTTGTGAAGTGCCTTTGAGTCAGTTCCCACTCATAGCAGCCCTGTATAGGGTTTCTGAGGAGTGGCTGAAGATTTGGAACTGCTGACCTTGCTATTTAAACCAACCTTGCAGTCTAGTGCTTATCCTACAGCGCTGTACTACGACTCCAATTAGAGGTATGTTGTTGTTAAGTGCCTTCACAGTATAGGGTTTCTAAGGAGCGGCTGGTGAGTTTGAACCTCTGACCTTGCAGTCCAGTGCTTTATCTCACAGTGCCACACCAGAACTCTGACTAGAGGCATGTTGTTAAGTGCCGTCGAGTCAGTTCCAACCCATAGTGACCTGTATAGGGTTTCTTCATACTGACTGCAGTCCAGCACACAAAGCTATAGTGTCACACCCCTCTCTGTGACTAGAGACATAGTGAGAACCACTAGACCACCAATGAGTGGTGACTGGAGGAATAGAAATGAGACTACTCAGAAGTGTAGAGGAATGGCTTTAGGAATGAAGGAAGCATTTCCTCTGCCCCAATTTCTAAAAAATGTCATTAAAGCAGATAATTTTAGCTAGAAGAAGCTCCTCATTGTCATCTTTAAAAAAAAAAAAAATTAGGTAAAAGTTGAAGGGATGGTATATTAGGGTAAGATGATCTGAGGGTAAACAGCTTGATTAAACAGCAAATAATAGATAATCCAAGATTCCCTCTTTAAGAAAACTTGCTTATTTTCCACTTCATGATACACTTATAAGAAAGTTGCTGACAGGTAAGACACATTTTCAAACCAGAGCTAAGATAAAAAAGTACCCTTTAGTGGCTGCATTTCTGACTTTAGTGTGTTCAGGAATTTGAACTGAATCCAGAAAGGGGTGGTATTTTCATTGGGCTGGGCAACGGAAATGAGTTTTTAAATGCTCTTCCTGTGGAACATATGGGAATTGGTTGATGGGAAAGGGAGGAGATCTATATATATAATCATGTCTGAATCTCAATGATCTACTCTACTAGACTTTGGCCTCTTCATGGTAGTCAACCATACACTTCCTGTCTTAGTTCTACTTCTTTTCATCATGCTTTATGCTTTCCCTTTCCATTCTTTCATTCAAATACAGGCTGAGGCAGAGGTGGCCTCCTTGAACCGTCGGATCCAGCTGGTTGAAGAGGAGTTGGACCGCGCTCAGGAGCGATTGGCCACTGCCCTGCAAAAGCTGGAGGAGGCAGAGAAAGCTGCTGATGAAAGCGAGAGGTGTGTGGAGAGGCCTTGATGGAGAGAGGATTTCAAAATAAATTCTACATGCCTCTGACCAAAATTTCTTTATAGACCTATAATAGTACTCTGTCTCTTACAGGATCTTCTTTTCTTCTGGAATGTTTTCTCCCCTTGAAGTCAGATAGAAAGGATTACCTAGTAAGACCCTGTGGCCCTTTTGTAATTAGTGTTTTCTATAAATTGACAATTCCTTAAATGGGGTCACTAATATAGACACCTAATTTAGCTAATCATAAGCTTTCTTTTTTGAAAACAGTCTCCCTGAAGCACTAGTTCTCAAAGTGAGGTCCTAGAACAGCATTAGTAACATCTGGAAACTTAGTAGAACGTAAATTCTCTGTCTCCAATCCTGATCTACTGAATCAGAAATCCTGGAGGTTGGTAGAGCCCAGTAGTCTTTTTTTTTTGTTGTTGTTTTTCCCCAGTAGTCTTTTAACAAACTCTCAACTCTGGCTCTACTATTAGAATCACATTGTGGCAAGTAACTTTCAAAATATCTGGATGCTTGGATCCCAGCCATTTTTAGTGAAATTAGAATAATCTGTGATAGGGGCCTGGACACTGATGTTTCTAAAGCTCTTTTGTTCATTTATGTGTGGCCAGGATTAAGAACAGTAATCCTTAAACTAAATCACAACTCATCTTTGTGAAGATAAATGAGTGACTCCTTGCCACATGTGAATTAAATTAGAATGAAGGTCTGTAACTACCTGCATAGATCTTTCAACTATCCTGTTGGGAGTACAGGCATACTTGTTTTATTATGCTGAGCAGCTCTTGCTTAAAAAAAATTTTTTTTTGAAAGTTTGTGGCTACCCTACATCAAGTAAGTCACATAGGCACCATTTTTTCCAGAATGTGCACACTTCGTGTCTCTGTGCAACATTTTGATAATTAACACAATATTTCAAACTCTTAGTGGTGCTATTGCATACCAATAGACTACAATATACTGTGAGTATAACTTTTCTATGTACTGGGAAACAACAAAGTGATTGACTTTTTTGTGACATTTCATGTGGTGATCTGGAACTAAACTTGTAGTATCTCCAAGGTATGCAGCTGTGCAAATGAATGCCAAATTATAGAAAGTGAACAAATTGTAGAATAGTATAGGGATGCGAGCACTGAAGGTTTTGCAAATCTTTGTCTAAAACATTTCTGGGAGGAATATGAAGTCTAATGAATAGGACTTGAAGTGAGGATAATTGCTTTTTGCTTTGTTCCTTTAGACCATAGACTTTTGTATTTTTTCATAGGCATGTATTTCTTTTTTATAAATAATAATCAATAGACCTATCATAACCTGTTTTAAAGAATCTTCTTTCCTTCTGTTCTGGATATTCTTTCCTCTTAAAAGACTGGCAGGAAGAGTTATCCTTTGAACCTTTTGCAATTGGTGTTTTCTGTAAGTTGGCCAATTAAAAAAGGGAAAGTAATGTTAAACAAAGTAAGACAAGGATTCCTTTTGAATGACAAGCAGAAAGGAATGGATTTTAAAGGGTCCAACCCAGTTTCCATGGATGGAATAGTGTTGATAACAAACTTCTCAGGCTGAGTACCACATTTGTCCTCACTGTTTCTGCCAGAGGTATGAAGGTTATTGAAAACCGGGCCTTAAAAGATGAAGAAAAGATGGAACTCCAGGAAATCCAGCTCAAGGAAGCTAAGCACATTGCAGAAGAGGCAGATCGGAAGTACGAGGAGGTAAAGTACCATCTGGTTATCCCTCTCTCTTGGTGATAAGGCTTCTGCAAAAAAGCCATTCATAAGAGAGAAATAACACCTTCTTTGCCTCACTCAACTGCAGCCTGGGTCATTTTTTGGTAGGTGGCTCGTAAGTTGGTGATTATTGAAGGGGACTTGGAACGCACAGAAGAGCGAGCTGAGTTGGCAGAATCGTGAGTATCTTGCTTTCAAAATGTATCATACCATTTTGTCCTTTTCCCCTTGGCTTGGGCACTAATGTGAATAAACGAGTCTCCCTTCAACTTTGTTAAATAAGGCCTAGAGGGTGGGAGTTACCTTACTGATTTTCTAGACTCTACAAATAGCTCTGAGCTTTCCTATTTTTATTATGTGGCTGTGATAATGCAGCTTCCTTTGTTTTTAGTAGGGAAAGTTCATAAATTGAGGGGAAATAAAGGGGATACGTTTAACTGAAAGACCCTCTTGGGGTATTCTGTGTGGGGTCTATTTCTCCTTGAAGCATTGATTCCTGTACCACTTAAGCCAATCTGTTAAGGAACTTCATGGTAGGGCAGATACGAACTGCCACCCTGTTGTCACCTCCTGGGCCTGTATAACAAAGTCAGTGCTGAGGTATATATTTGTATAAATATATATAAATTTGTGTTTCACTTGTGTTCCCCAGTCCCAGACATGACATATCATGGCCATGGTGGTGTTGTCTTTTCATTTTCAAGTTTTACGAATTCCCCTCTTTGTCCCCACCCCCCGTTTTGCTGCTTGTTCTCTTGCTATGTTCCTTGTTGACCTTTCTCCCTCCCCACAACCTGGCTTGTGTCATTCCCCATGACTATCACTAACAGCCGTTGCCGAGAGATGGATGAGCAGATCAGACTGATGGACCAGAACCTGAAGTGTCTGAGTGCTGCTGAAGAAAAGGTACTAACCATTAAACTCAGAGAAGTTATATGTATGGTCTGGTTTTGTTTTGTTTTTGTTTTTGTTTTGCAGCTGCCTCCCTCCTCCATTGATTGGTTTGTTGAGTGCTTTTTCATCTCTTCGTGGAATGCGCTCCATTCTCTTCCACTTACTTGGCATTTTTTCATCTTTTTATCCTAGTTGCTTCAGTGGCCTCTTCACAGGGTCTCTCCTTCCCTCGGGTGATTTTGGGGGACTGTTTGGTTTGGGCATCCATTTCCACATCCACTCCAAGCAGCAGTTCTACCTTGTTCCTGAAAGTGATTTCTCTCAAGTGTTCTTCCTTTATTGGTATCCAAACATTCTGAGTCCTAGCCCAGGAGGGTCCAGCTCCTGACATGCTCTGTGGTAGAGGGAGGAGGGTTGATGCTTGCTCGGATTACCTGGGAACTTCTCTTCCCCAGGATATCTTCCAGCTCTCTCTACGTATAGGTTCAATTCACGTCTATGTATCTCTCTCTCTCTTCCCCCCCCCCCTTTTTTATTCTCTTTCTTTATCCCTTTCCTCTCCTGCAATATTTAAAACATTCACAGTAAGTGTTCTGAGCTGGAGGAAGAGCTGAAGAATGTCACCAACAACCTCAAGTCTCTTGAGGCTCAGGCGGAGAAGGTAGGGACTAGTTTGTGCAAGTGACAGACTTTGGGGCCTGGGCCCAGCGCTGCCATGATGAAAGGCTGGAGGTGCCTATTCCTGATATAATCCAGTGAGAAGTGCTCTCTTCCTAGGTGCCTTTCCTTTATTCAGAGTCTGGACTTAATACTAATTGTTGTGATCTTTTATTTTCTCATTAAAATAACATCATGGTCTCAGGTGACTGGAGTCCTGTTCTCGTCAGGTTGTTACTGCTATACTGGAGGTAGTAATCATGGGCCCTAGTGGGCTTTCTAGCAGACAGGTGGGGGCAACAAGCAGGTCTGAGACCTAATGAACAATCAAGGCACATAACTTTCTCTTACTATTATGGAACTGTTTCCATCAGGTGGCCTTGGGTGTTAACTACTCCTGTTCATTAAGCAGGAGGCAAGAAAAGCATCTCTCTGGGTAGTTTTGACCTGGATCAAAGTCTTTGTTGTTGTTAAGTGCCGCCGAGTTGGTTCCAACTCATAGCTACCCTGTATAGGGTTTAGGAGGAGTAGCTTGTGACTTTGAACTGCCAACCTTGTGGTTCAAACCGACCTAGTGGTTGAGTGCTTAAACTACAGCACCACACCAGGATTCTAGATCAAAGTGTCTAGGTCCTTTTTAAAAGTAAAAATAAAAGGATTCTGATCTGTGGATACCATGGCCTAAAATACATGGATTTGTGGATTTTAAGGACCTATTGTGCAGAAGCAGGCCGTAACTCTTTCTAATGACCCATTGAGTACCTTAAATCATAAAAGATAATTGATGTTAAGTGTGAATGCTGGTGTATATGGGGGGGGGGCGGTGTTGTCAGTGTGAATAATTTTTATTATGTTTCTCTTACAGTACTCTCAAAAAGAAGACAAATATGAGGAAGAGATAAAGATTCTTACTGATAAACTCAAGGAGGTAAGCTGAGGGGGTTAGAGGGAAAGACCCAAAACATTTAGAGGTGGAGGTAAAGTATATTAATGTGGACTTAGAACTGGCTGTCTTTAGTCTTGAATGATCTAGAAGGTAGAAAAAATAAGTATCTTTCTCTTGTCCATATCTGGTTCTGACTGGTTTTGTGTTTCCCCAGGCAGAGACCCGTGCGGAGTTTGCTGAGAGATCAGTAGCCAAACTGGAAAAGACAATTGATGATTTGGAAGGTATGGAGCCTGGGAGGATTACAATAGAGACATGTAAAAGGCCTCGTCCATTGACTGTTAAAGCTCTTTATTTGGACACCAAAGGGACTTGGTAGTGACTTCATAAATCCTGTACTCTGTCCTATGCCACAGCTACATGACGTAGGTCAAACCCTGCAACTGATTTTTACATTTCATTTATTCCTTTAGAAAGACTTTACCTCGTATTCTAAATGTGCCTCCTTCCCTTTGAGGAGGCTGATAACTACTGCATTTACCTCCAGTTTAATCTTAAATTTGTAGTTTCCAGCTTAAATTGGAAGTCATGTTTTAAAAAGACACTAAGGATGCATGTGACCTTAGAGTACTTGTCAGTACTGCTCACTGTAGAAGTTGTGGGAACCTCCCTAAGATAGGAAGCTGTGCAGTGACTATATCAGAGCTTATCAAAACCAGGACTTTCTAAATAGTTTCTTTCCCCACAGTTTAGCAACTGCATTCACCTTGACAAGGGAAAGTGTACTTTGCTTTGAGAACTCTTGAGACTTGTTCCTTTTGTATACTCTGGGTAGCAGGATATTCTTACTTTGGAAGAATTTGGAGAAGCAATTCTCCACAGGTTGGGGAGGCAACCCTTGGAAAAAAGAGGCCCAGAATAATGGATGCACTTTGTAGGCAGAGCAGTATCTTAATATTGATGTGTACTTTCTCCCTTTTCTGTTTTCAATAAATTAAGCCTTGTCATTGCTAGTAAGTGGGTGAATTTGTAGGGAGTGGCATCCTCCTGGGTGCATTTTTGGTAATATGAACTTTTAGTCATGGCTGTTACCAGGTCCTTAGCCCTTGCTGCAATCAATTTGAGGTATCCAGTTGGTCCTAGGGTATAGTGGATCTGAAAGTGGCCAGTCATGATTGCCAGTATAGACTTCTAACTGGTACTAAGATCCAAGGTCACGCTTTCCCTATTTTCTAATGATTCCCTCTCTCCATCTGCTTCTGATACCTTTCACTCTGTCCCCTCATTCTTCCCTGTGGTTCCTGTGCCTGTCCAGACGAACTCTATGCCCAGAAACTGAAGTACAAGGCCATTAGCGAGGAGCTGGACCACGCCCTCAATGACATGACCTCTATGTAACTATCTGACAGCAGAGCGGGGCTGGGCTCTTGGCTTGTGGGTGGGTGGGGGGACAGGCTTTGCTGCACAGTGTGCTTTGGTTTTGTTCTCTAGAAACTAGAATCTCTGCCTTTATCTTCAAAACATTGGTGCTGGTTACTTGTTTGGCAAAAGCTGGGGCAGCATTTAATATTGGATCAGTGGTAGAACCCTGATCTTTATAAGGTAAATACTTTCTATTCATAGTTCCTTCATTATATTATGCTTTCTTTGTTCATTTCTTGGGAAGGACAAAGTAAAATAGGGCCCAAAGAGCCAGTGACTTGAACTGTAATATATTAAAAAAAATCAGACCTTCTGGATATTTTGTTGATAATTTTGATATTAAAGTTCAGAGGAAACATCCATGATAGAAAATACCAAACTCACCTAAGAATCAGTCCAAGCCCCAGAAGCAAGCCAGGTAGTAAGCAGCACCAGCGGGCTTTGTTGGGGGCCTTCATTTGCTGTGGATCCTTGATCCTTGATGCTAATTTGCCACTTTGTATCTCTCCCACTAACCTTGTAGAGAAGCCAAAAGTCTCAGGCTATAGTGCCTGGCTTTAAAAAAAAAAAAAAAAATCATTCCTGTTGCCTCTTCTTCCTTTTTCTCCTTTCCTTTCTCCCAGATATGCTGTCTAGATTGATGTTGGTCCTTCTTACCTAGAGTTTCTTTACTCTTTCATGCAGATAACTTATCACCGTTTCTGCCCTGTTCTGGATCTCTGCCCCCCTTTCCTCGGGGGACCCAACATCCCACTCTCACTCTGGATTCCATTTGGGCCAGCCTGGCTGGTCCCTACAGCATTAGCACGGGCTGCGGGGTGGTGGTACACAAAGCAACTTATGTGTTCTCTTCCTCCCTGACCCTAAATTAAAATGTTAAGCTGTTGGAAGCCTCATGCCACCCTGCATTTTTGTCATTGACAGAGCTGCTGCTGTCACTAAGAAGGAAGCCTTGGCGGTGTGGGGTACAGCTATCATAGAGTTACCCCTGACTTAAATAATCAAAGCCATTTCTGTTTGTGTCTATTTTTTTCTTGACATTTAAACCCAACTGATTTGAATCTTATTAAAATGGTGAACTTAGGCTGGGAGCTCTCCTTGTATTCCTCAGTCTGAATGAGATCATCTAAGTGCTTTACTTCCAAGTTCCTAAATCATCCTGCCTGTAATGTTTCTATCATCTCAGATTTTCCTCATTTGTGAGACCATAGAAGTGCCTCCCAATTCCACCCTCTTGCCACTGGTTCAGATGGTGTATCCACAGAATACCCAGTGGACCCAAATATATTGCCACTAGAATTGTCTAAATGCATCATCCCAGATCATAGGGGGAAAAAATGCAATTTATTTTTAAGTTATTGTTTTCTTCTTTAAACCTTTCTTACATATTTGGGGCCTGTTAATATTTGTATGATAGTGCATGCAGATGGGCTGTAAAACAAGTAATAAATGAGTATTGGACGTTGTAAGCACTGGACTGTTAACCACAGAGTTGGTGGATCAAACCCACTAGTTGCTCCTTGGAAACCCTATTTGGGGACACTTTGAGGTGGAACCAATTTGACAGCACTTAACAACAAAACAACTAATCAAGAATATTTCAAGTCATGCACATGGGGGGTGTGATGTATTACATACTTATACACATAACCTAAATGCTAGTTAAGTTGTGTTCTTGGTTCATATTGTGCAATGAAGTATCAGCATTTCAGAAGCCTTTATTCCAGTTTACACAGCAGAGATGGTTCAATCAGAATAGTATAGTTACTTAAACGCATAAGTGTCTGCCACTTGATACTAAGTTTCTCAGGAAAATGTGTATTTAAAATTTGCTTTTCTTTTACATTTATACAGTCAGATAGAGAAGTTTTTCCAAATATTAAATTTTAGATCTCAGATTCAGATTTTCTTCTGTCCCTACCATTTCTTCATATCAAACAGCTTTTTGAGATTAAAGAACAAATTCATTTATTCAACTGACATTTATTTGTATCTATTTGGCACCAGGTATTTGGTTTAAAGGTAAGTAATCAAAGATGGAGGCACACCCCTACTCTCAGGATGCTCAGAGTCTCATAGAGAAAATTTGCATAAAGCTAAAAGATACTGTGTGCTAAGTGTCACAAGAAAGGGAAAGCAATTGATTCTATTTTAGAAGATTAGGAAAGACTTATGTAAGAGGCACATAAGTACATTTTCACTGGGCCCAAAAAGATTGAGTTTTTGGCAAACAGATTGGTTGAGGGGTAATGAATATTGAGTATTCTAGTCAAAGAGAAGGGAAGTGGGGAGGACATAATGGCTATAGAGCTTTAGATTAGGGTAAGAGGTAGAAACGTGTGCTGGAATCAAGTTGGAGAGTGTTAACTTGCTACTAGAGATTTTCAGTAGGTAATGTAGTCTGGGAAGCTACATGAAGAGTTAGTTTGGCAGCTAAATTAAGAATGTTGAAAAGGGAGAACTTATAGTGATAAAGTATGCTTCCCAAATTTATACCATTTGTTTACCATTTTCTATGGTTTTTGCCATATTCCTGTGCTGCCTATGTTACTCTTCAAATTCACTCTTGTCTTTAAATTTATCTTACTCTAAGAAATTCTGTTTTGAAATCGAAAGTTTGATGTGCTGGCATTTTCCTAATGCACATTAAATGTTGCTGCTGCTGCTTTTTTCCCCTTCTTTTTCTTTTCCCTAAGTTCACAAGTTTATATGACCTGAAATCTCATATACCACTGTGAATATGCCACACTTCAGGAAATACTAGGTTAGGTTGTTGCACATCAGGGTCTGAATAAGAGTAATGGCAGGAGCGAGATGGCACTGAGGACTGGTGTTTTTGAAAGGCTTGGCCATTAGATGTAAGAAGGAAACGTCAAGGACGATTGAGTTTTAAGCCAAGGAAAATGGTGACACAGTTGTACAGCCTTAAATGATTGGGAAGGTAGAAAAGTTATAAATCTGAAAAATGTAGCAGGTATCTAGGTGAGGACCACAAAAGTGTGGGGGGGAACAGTTTGAGTAGAGGTTGGTTGACTTTTAAGAACGATTTGGGGATCTGTAAAGGTGACAGACAAGTTTTGTCTACGTAAGTATATGAGAACCCTAAAGCATACGTGCAAATAAAAAAAAAAAAAGGAGGAAATCTTTGTAGAAAGGAAAGCCAAATGGAACTGGTTATAGAGATAGATAATGAGTTTTTTGGTTTTTTTTTTTTTAAGTTCATGACTGGTTGATGTCCAGCGGTTCTGAAAAGCAACAGACAAGTGCAGAGGGAAGACAACAAAATTCATTGATGCGTTAGTAATTTGAGAGTACATTTTGAGTATTAAGGTAAAGTCTGGAAGCATATTTCAGTGGATGGACTAGTTGATGGAATGAAAATAAAGGCAGTATAATAGTCTTCTGGAGAAATTGCTGTCCAATAGAAATTTTTGGCAATGTTGGAAATGTTGTATATCTGTGCTGCCCAGTGTTATAGCCACTAGTCACATGTGGCTGTTGTGCACTTAAAATGTGGCTAGTGTGGCTGACACTAGGAGCTCTGGTAGTGTAGTGGTTACGAATCAGGCTGCGAACTTCAAGGTCAGCAGTTCGAAACTACCAGCCGCTCTGCAGGAGAAAGATGAGGCTTTCCGCTCCTGTAAAGATTTACAGCCTCGGAAACCCTGTACAGGGTTGCTATTGGTTGGAACCGACTCCACGGCGCTTAACAACAAGTGTGGCTGAGGAGCTGAATTTCTAGCTTTACTTAATTTAGTTTATTCCTATGTAGCTAATGGTTGTAGTATTGGACAGTGCCATTCTAGGTGTTTTAATAGTTAGGTGGAAGGAGTTGTCTAGGGCACAGAGAAAGACATCTTAAAAAAGAAGTATGGTAGAATGGAGAGAGATTGGGAGAAAGGTAATGGTCCCATCTTTCCCCATAGGCATGATTAGTATGAGTATGGATAGGAATCAGCAAGCTAGGGTAGCAGAGTGAAATGTGAAATACTCTGTGTCGTGTTGAACTCAGTCTTTCATTTAACGCCTTAGATCTTTGCAGAAGCCATCCTGTGTTAACTTGCACTGACCGGCTAAGGGCATGAGGTCAAACATCCTTAGTAGTTGTAGGGCAAGGCACTTGCCTTCCCAAGTCAAGGCTGATGTGTTAGGTTCCATTCTTCCCTTCCTTGTTACTACTGTTGGGATGAGGAACAAAATGTGGTTTGATTCTGTTATCTAACAATGGGACTGGCCTATCATGTTGCATGGCCTTAGATTAAACCCACTCCCCATCTTTCAGGAAGTATTGGTTGCAAACTTTCCAAGCTTAAAATTAAGGGGGAAGTAAAATCAAAAGCAAAATCAGTTAATAAGCCTGTTTGTTCTTCCTTCATTCCTTGGTCTTTGAGACTTTAAAGCTGATTGAGTTCCTCCTTCCTTTCCTGTGACAGAATAAAATGGACCTAACTTAGACCAGTAAAGCCTAAGGGTATCTAACATTCATGGGATTGGGCAAAGACTTAAAGGAGCATGGATTCAGTGGTGGTGGACTGCTAACTGCAAGGTCTGCAATGCAAACCCACCAGCTGCTTTGTGGGAGAAAGATGACGCTGTCTGCTCCCATAAAGATTTAGAGTTTCAGAAACGCTGAGTCAGAATCAAGCCACTGGTGGTGGGTTTGGTTTTTTGGTTTAGGAAGTAAGGAAAAACACATTTATCTTCCTGACCTCACACAATTCTCAGAGAATTCTGCTTTCTGAAATTCAGTCAGGCAATAAAATGGCCCCATTCCTTCTCTGTCTATTTCTAGAATACTTTGAAGAGTGAGATCTTGTTTCCTAGGTGATGTTGTTAAGTGCCATCAAGTTGGTTCTGACCCATAGGGACCCTGTATAGTGTTTCCAAGTTGCTGCTGGTAGGCTTGAATTGCCAATCTTGCAGCTAACTGTCCATTACTGATGCTACAGCACCACACCAGAATGGGAATTACACAAACTATTCGTTACAGATTTTACAGAAGAGCCAAACTCTACATGGGATCTGTATATATAACAGCACAGAAAGATACACAAGTTCAACACAAATTTATACATCTACTATTTGTCAGGAATGTATCAACAAATAGGTCCAACTTCATGGAGATTAAGACTGATGTAGTGTTTCTCACTTGTAGATTTTTGGCATTTAAGGTGGGACAGTTCATGGTGTATAGAACTATCCTACTTATTGCTGTCCCTTGCCCAGGAAATGTCTATAGAGCCCTCTAGTCATCGTGACAACCAAACCCTGCCCCCATACATTTTCAAATATGGGAGAGGCAATACTACTCTGGTATTATTGTTAAGAACCACTGGTTTAATGGGAAGTGCAGTTTTTAAAAATCATCCTAATGCATTCCGGTCCTGAGGCCATTTCAAAACAGACTGTAAAACACAGAAAGAAATTTGTACTGGATCTGGATCAGGATCACATCTCCATCTCCCCTGTGCTGGTCATGTGAATTTGGATTCTCTATACCTCTCTAAATTTTGCTGCAGTAGAAGACCTGGATAAAGCAATGAATGGTCTGAAGCACTTAATTACTTATATCAGGAGTTCTATTGGATATAAGAGACAGCTTACCAACAAACAGAACCCACTGCCATTGAGTCAGTTTTGATTCATGATGACCCTGTGTATATTTCCAAAGCTGTAAATCTTTACAGCCTGGTGTGGCACTGTAGGATAAGCACTGGACTTACTAACCAAAAGCCGGTGGTTCAAACCTACCAGTCACTCCTTAGAAACCCTATACTGTGTTGCTATGAGTCAGAACTGACTCAGCAGCACTTAACAACAGCAACAAATCTTTACAAGAATAGACAGCCTCATGTTTTTACTGTGTTGGTGAGTTTGAATCATCGACCTTGCAGTTAGCAGCCTAACACACACTGTCACCAGGATGCCTTAAGAAACAGCTATCAAATCTCTGACCTACAAGCGTTCAGCTCAAGCATGGTGGCTGATCCTGCCACTCAGCCGATTTTGCCAGTAACCCAGTTTCCCTCATCAGGTCCTGAATTGGTCCACTTACACCTCCAAGTCTCCTATTCCAGGGCTTCAATCCATAATTTTATCCATTCTGGTTATAGCTCCAGTTTACACAAGTTCTAAAAATTCAGGTCTCTTCTTCCAGTTTCACTTAACTGGCCATGACTAAACTGGTTCAAATTGGTTCGAAGTCCTGTGTAATAAATAGTCTGACCAGGAGCAGCTGGGGTTTCTGAGATTCTCTTGGCCTCTTCTCTTAAAGTTGAAATATGGTGTCTTCAGCTCCAATTATTACATCTATCTTCAAGACAAGAAGGAAAGCCCAAGTTTTCCCAGAGACCCTCAACAGACTAATCCTTACACCTCATTGGCTAGAATTAGGTCATGATCATCCCTAGCTGCAGGGGAGGCTTGAACAGCAAAGAACAGGATAGTCTTGATTTAAACTAGAAATTTATTTACCTTCCTTGGGGTTGAGTATATTGCTGACTTTTAACAAGTTTGAGGTTCTTTGAGAAAGTATGAAGGCAAACTTGGATATTGAGTAGGCCGATAAGAATATTACATAGCATCTACAATATGAAGCATTAGAAGGTCTAGGATTGAGTGGATATGGGGATATTAACTTTATCTACTTAATAATTGTTTGATGTTTTTCCAAACTCTGATTATTGTAAATTAATTTCTTCTCAACCAACTGCATTCCTTCCTTTGCCCGGTTTCATTTGCCTGTCTCTCAACCCAGAAAATAAACACTGTGAAGGAGGTGTTATTCCTCCCTCAAAATCTTGTCCTACCAACTTGTCAGTCTGATTTATTTTATCTTATTCCTGTGTTGGTCTGGGCATCTTCCACCACTGACTGACTCTTAATGCCTCTGTCTGAATCCTCCTTACATTCATCCTGCCTTAGATGCATGTTAAACATAACCATCTAGTTAAGACTGAAAATTTACCTCTGGTACTCTACTAACCTCCCCTTTTCTCTTTCTCCTCCTCTTTTTCCTCTCTTCTTCTTTTCCCTTCTTTCTGTTGCTGCTGCAGAGCATCTCTACAGCCAACTTGAGTGAAACCACCTGCTTTCTAATGAGCTGAAGCTAACGCTGCATGATCTATGTGACTGATGGGCAGGGCTCACTGATGACCATTAAACCGAGCTTACTGCTCACACCTGAAACTCAGCACAAAGCTGATGGCCTTTTTAAAAGTTATTATTTTGCCCTAAGCAAACCACAGCACTAAAGTGGCTTTTTAATTGGGGCAGTTAGAGTAGTAACTAATCCTTTTCTAATGTATTTTTGTTTTTAAGCTTTTTATAAATTGATTTCCTCACAGCATTGTAAAGTTGGGACCATTGATACATGCGTTTCTATCCCTTTTCAAGAAATGAAGGATGATGAAAAAGGGACCTGAGAGAGTTAGAATGTGAATAACACTTTGAGAGGGTTTTCAGTTTTCTGCCCTTATTTGCTCTTTAGCTTATGCACTGACTGTAGGTGTGTTCCCCTTAATGGATGTTTTCTAACAATAAAAGGAATAATTTGACAAGATGTTGTAACTGCTTCATGTGCAGGCTGCAGGGATGGGTCCTCCTGACTGGGTGGAAACAAAGGGAAGGAAAAGGGTATGGGATAAGAAATTGGTCACCTTCTCTGAGTTGAAGTTTTCCTCACCTCCCTTAGAGCAGTCAGTTGGTTTGCTTGTTGGGCAGATTAGATTTTGTTGACATTCAGCTGTTGGTTTTCTTCTTGACATTTCCCCTCTAGCCTCCTTTTTCTGATTTTCTGTTTAATTGCAAGTAGCTCTGTTACAGTCAGTCTATGAGAGGACGTCAAGAAATTCATAGAAAAATGGGATTTAAAAGTGATGAATTTTTCCATGAAAATTTAAAAGCCCCCTTGCAGTTCTGGACAATAAAACAACAAAAACCTAACTGCCATCAAGGCAGTTCTGACTCATGATGACCCCATATGTAGCTCTATGCTCTGTAAGGTTTTCATTGGCTGATTTTTCATAAGTAGATTGCCAGGTCTTTTTTCCAAGGTTCCTCTGGGTGGACTCAAACAACTAGCTTTTTGATTAGCAGCTGAGAGAACCATTTCCACCAGGGGTTCTAGTTCTGTACAATGGCTCTGCAAAAATCCCAGTTAAAGTTTTGCTTAATAAGTATATTTTGGGGTAGTGTTCTTGGCTTTGTTTTATTTCGAGATTCTTTTATTTAACTCAGAGGGTTCTTTCATTTTCACAGCCATTTCTTTCCCACTCTACTTTTGGGAGAGATCCTATAGCACATGAAGATCCTCCTGTTGCTTTTCAAGTTGAGATTCTGGTGTTTTTATTGGTAGAATATGCCCATCTTTGCTCAGTGGTCAAAGTCTAGAGAGCCATTTCCAATAGACATTTTTTGTGGGCAAGCTTAAAAAAGTGGATGGCTGAAGTTTAAGGACCTTCTCCTTCAGTGATTTAAAGCTAGAAGCCTTGGTTTGCCTATGGGAGGGACAGGAAATGACTGATAAAGGGTTACTCATTCCCTTCCTCTGGAAGTTCAATACCTGCAGCTTTAGTAGGCAAGCCAGAGGCCCTGCAAAACCAAGTGTTCAATAATAGCTCACTTCTGTGGCTAAGAAAGCAATTGCTTCATTAGTCTGTAACATCCCTGTAATAGGAGCAATTCTCAGAGTGGACAGAACTTGAAATTTACTTCTAGTTTTTGTAATTTCTCTCCTTTACCCCTTCATTAGATAAACTGAAATGCACCAAAGAGGAGCACCTCTGTACACAAAGGATGCTGGACCAGACTCTGCTTGACCTGAATGAGATGTAGAGCATCGCAGTCCTGCCCTGCCGCTGCTCCTCCCCTTGACCCTGACTCCGCCTGAGGCCAGCCTGCCCGAAGCTGACCTTTAAACTGAGGGCCGATCTTTAACTGGAAGGCTGCTTTCTCCTCGCCATCCACCCTCCCTCTCAATCATGTCTTTTTTTTAAATTTTTTTTTCCTCTGCCATATTGTCTCTGCCTCTCCCCAGAGATCCCAACTGGGCTTAGAGGCTGAGAACCTTTGGGAACATTTAAGGGAACATGAGCACAGTGCAAGTGTCTTTAAAAGCATGTTGTGATGTACACATTTTGTAACTGCCTTTTTTGTTATAGCACCATATGTAACACATTCCAAATAACTCTGCAGCTGTGAAGCAGCAATCTAACCCCTTTCTTTTGGAAAGTAACTTTTCAGCTGAATACATATTGCCCTCTCCACAGAGGAGGGAAAGAAGTATGGGTCTGCCTTACTGAGAGCCAAACATAGCCAAGGGAAAGACTCTACTCTGGGAGCCCTCATTGCTCTGTACAAAGCACCAGTCAAACCAGAAAGGTGATTCCAGGAAGAGTTGTTAGCCCAGAAAAAAAAAAAAAATTTTTTTTTTAAAGTGCTGTTCAGGGTTTCAGTTTTAAAGTATCTTGGTGCAAGGTGATTTTTTATTTTATTTTGTCAGAAGTGACCAAACAAATTAATATGATGAGACCTCTGTGTGAGATCTTATCATTAACCCATCCTTTCTCCAGTCCCTTCCTAATTACTCACAGAATGGATCATGTGTCACTCTCTTGGGTGACCACTTATTTGCTCTCCTTTTTTAAAAGAAAGAAAAAATGATTTGCCACTGAGTTAGCCATGCGAAACTCATCTCGTCACCCTATTTTGGGTCTGAAGCTGCTGTCTCTCAAAGTGCCATCCTGGGGTGCTTTGTTTCAGTCAGTGTTGGAGAAACCTTGAATATCTTATATACAAAGTTGTTTTGTTTTTTGTTTTTATTAAATTTTATATGAGTTTGAAGCTTTGTTTCTCTGGAGTTGGGGTGCACTGGCCACCCCATCTGGCTGATTTCTCTCTGCAGTCTGTAGGCTGGCAGTGTGTGCTCATCTTTTAAAAGTCCTTTCCCTACCCAGCCCCCCCCCCCTTTTTTTTTTTTTTTTTTTGTGAGGTTTCTGTGAGGTGTGTCAGGTGGTCATCCTGCAGCTTAGTGGCTTCAAATGTACTCTCCTTCCGTGTGGTCTCTTTTGGAGGCTGATTGAGAGAGAGAGAAACCAATAGTGCAACTGTTTTGATACTGAAAATTGATGTGTCTTTCTTTCTTTTTTTTTTGAAATAAAGAACCAGTCCCTCTAACTCTCTGGCCTTCTTGACTATATTATTTATTAAACCAAATGTGCTTTTCTCCACAGGAGCTAAGAGGTTTATGTGGGTGGTAACACTGTTAGTGGTGTGTATACACACTGAAAGCAGACCAAAACTGGGTTCAAAACTAGGCTCTGAAATTCTTAGTTATGTGCCCTGGTGTGGTGCTGTAGGATAAGCACTGAACTGCTAGCCGCAAGGTGAACAGTTCAAACCCACTGTCACTCCATAGAAATTCTACAGGGTCAATGTGAGACAGAACCAACTCGACAGCACTTAACAATAAATAGTGTCCTGATACAAACCATTTAGTTTTATAATCTGTGAAGTAAAGGTAATTATGTATTATCAGGGTAATTGTGAAGATTAGGAATATTTATGTGCCAGATCTCATATATCTTCAGATTGAACTATACATTTACTTTTAGAAGTATATTCTTATAAACTGTAGATTTACAAACTCACCAGCTGCTCCTGGGAAACCCTGTACAGGGTCAGTGGAACTGATAGCACTTTACAACATACACTGATAAGCTTGTTGCTGTGAAGTCTATCCCTGCATGGTTAAATGATGAAATGTATACAAGTTCCTAGCAGAGCATTGAAAACCTATTAGGATTCTTGGTGTGGGGCTTGGGTTAGCACTCGACCATAAGGTGGGTTTGAACCACAGGTTGTTGGCAGTCCAAACTTGCCAGCCAAATCAGTAACCCTATCTATACTGGGTCACTGAGCCCAAACTGACTCGACAGCACAAGAGCTCTTTGGAGCCCTGGTGAGGTGCTGTAGGATAAGCACTGGGCTGTTAAGTAACCATGAGGCTGGCTTGAACACACCATCAGACTCCTTGGGTTGCTATGAGTCAGAACCAACTGCACCTTATAACATGCATGTTGTGGTTTTAATAAACTTCCCTGATGGAACCTTTCTGTTAATATTTTGCTGGATATTTGGAAAAAAGTTAACAAGACATGCTCTCATAGCATTTGCTTAGAAACTGAATAGATAGTTTTAAAAGCTTCCTTTGAGATGCTAGTGCCTGGCATTTTCTGCACCCTGGCCTTGGGGCCACACGTGATTCCAACTTCCTGTTAAAGTTAGCTTTTTGTCAGTACTAACGGCACAGGACCCTTGACAGAATGCAGTTTATACTAGGGACTGGATATATTTCCAGTTTTAAATATCAATGTTGACTGGAAATTATTGCTGAGGAGGAAAAAAAAAGGTTTTTTTTGGGGGGGCGGGAGGTGGCTAGAAGCCAAATATAAGGTAAACAAAAGATAAACGGGAAAAGTTGGAATTTTTAAGACTTCTGCTTTTAAATATTAAAAAGATCTGCTATCCAATATTTTGCAAATTAATCCTATACGCAAGTTGTGTCTTTTCCTATCACTGTTGCTTATATATATCACATCTGTGTTTTCAGTGGCCATCCTTCCTTAGGCAGGATATTTTAGAGCTGAAAAAGCTGAAAGCAGCAAAAGAGTATTGAGACCAGAGGGTCAGAGAAAACGAGGAAGACGACCCCCAACGAGATGGGTTGGCCAAGTGGCAGCATCGATGGACTCAAGCGTGGCAACAGTAGTGAGGTTGGCCCAGGATCGGTGCCAACTCTATGGCACCTAACAACAACAACAAGGAAAATATTGAGTCTTGTGAATGCAAAATGGCGTACATGTGTTTTCTAGTCTAATCATGCTGCTATGTTTCTTTGAGAGCCGGTTTCTTAGTTTGTTCCCAAAGTTTCCATAATGTTAATTTACTAGAGCACTTACTTGAAAGTCATTTCCCACAATTCCGAGTCTGCGGGAGGGCTGGACCCTTCTGGCCTTGCTGATTGGCTAATAGGGAGGGCGTGGTCAGTAGTTGGGCTGGAACCTGAAATCCAGCGGTCGCCATGACTGACTCTGGAGCCACCAGACCCCGAGGCTTAAGGCTGTATTTTTACTTGCTACTACTTTATTTGTTTTTGCTTGGGACCCTGCCCAACAAGCTTAACGTACCACACGTGTTGCTACCTTTCGGCCGAGAGCCAGGCCGGGTACCTTTCCTGTTGGAATCGCAGAAGGGCTGCTATACTTGGTGAGGGATGGATGAGTTTTGAGGCTATGCACTCCTATACAAACCGATAAGGGTGGGTGGGGCATTTACTCTGTAAGACCCTCAAGAGATACTGTGGTCACTTGGTGTGAAGAGGCCACTCCTGTAAGGGTTGTCCTTTTCATTGTGTGGGATATTATCTGGTTGTATGTATGTCTTTTTGAAATAAATTTTCTGAACAGGAAACTAGCCTTTTTGTTGTGCGTGTATTGGAAGGGTTAGTTGCAGTAGGAGATCAGGGCATAGGGCAGCATTTTAGAGATTGATCCTCAGAGGCCAGCCATGAAGTATAAGTTGCTTAGAATATGACAAGATTTGTCTTGAGTGGAGATGAGATCTCCCCGGAATATAAAGTTTCCCTCCTTATCTGAGGGTGTCCACTGAGATTGTGAGGAAAAGGAAAAATCCATTTGGGGATGACGACTTGCTGACTGAGGACAGAAAGACAGAACTTTCTAGTGAGCGAGAACCCAGAGACAGTTTGTGAGGAAATCTAAATAAATGAGTTCCTAAGACATGAGAAGGTTCCCTCTAAACAGTTGACTATAATGGTGACCCTGTGCATATCAGAATTGAACTGTGCTACATGGGGTGTTGAAGGTAGATTTTTAAAAACAGGTGTTTTTTCCAAGGCACCTCTGGGTGGGCTCAAACCTCCAACCTTTCAGTTAACAGCTGAGCACAATAGCATGTTAGATTTTATCACCACAGAGTCTCTTCACTCTTACTTGGAGTAGATTTTCCTTTATTTTATCCTAAGAGAAGCAATCATGTGTGAAAGTTTCCCTACCATTTTTTGAGGAAGTAGAAGGGAATCAGATCCTGTGTGGTGTGCTTCCTGACTGAAGGTGATGCAAGAGGGTGATCTTTCTAGCATATGAAGCTATTTCTTTTACCCATGTAAAAATAATGAGTTCCCCCCAACTTTTTTTCTTCTTCTTAAATTGAGTTGGACTCACACTTCATAATTTAGTTGACTTTTCCAACTTAGATGTCAGATACCAACCTATTCTCTAGGATGAAAAAGCCCAGTCTCTTATTATTAAAAATACAATATTAATCCTATTTTAACATACTGAGGGAAGAATATAACAATCTTATTTTAATTATTGCTGGAGGAATGTAACATTTCTGCAACTGCACAATGGACCACTGGGCAAGTCTCTGACTCTGTCTCACTTTAATCCTTATGTTACTAAGCAATGTTCCTACTTTAAAATAAAGAGTGTCATTTAAATACATGTATATAATATGGAAGTAGTATAGGAATCTGTGTTCCATGAAAAGTTAACTTTAACCCATACTCTTTTTTTATACTCTTTAAGTATTTTGTTCTAACAGGCATTCCACCCATCATGATGTGGTTACTGTTGAACCTTTATATGAAACTGGCACCTTATGTTCCCAAAGAGCTGTACTCATTGCTGAATCTACCCAACCAATACGCCTCAGCAGTATCATTCTTGCTCGAGAGATAGGTATGTTAAGAGAAAATACTGTGTTAGACTTGGTCTGAGATTGAATAATTGTATTGGACACAACCATCTTATACTGATGGTTAACACAAATGTTATTAGGTTCAAATGATTAGAATAATAGGGATTCCTATAATACAATTGTTGTTAGGTGCCATGGAGTCGATTCCCACTCATAGCAACCCTGTACAGGATTTCTGAAGCTTTTAAATCTTTGCAGGAGCAGAAAGCTCCTGCGGAGCAGCTGATGGGTTTGAACTGCTGACTTTGTAGTTTGCAGTCCAGTGTTTATCCAATGGAGGAGCCACTGCACTCCTATAATACAGTGAAAAGGAATGTCGAGTGAATTCCAACTCATAGAAACCCTGTACAAGGTTTCTGAGGAACAGCTGATGGGTTTGAATTGTGAATCTTGTGGTTTGCAGTCTAGTGCTTATCCTACAGAGCCACACCAGGAGTCCTATAATGCACTATAAGCCCTAAATTGTGACATCCTATAATGTAACTGGAGTCCTGGTGTGACGCTGTGGGCTAATACATCAGACTGCAAAGTTATTTGAACTGCAAGGTTTGGTGGTTCAAGCTCACCAGCTACTCCTTGGAAACCCTATAC